CTGATATTACCCCTTGCTTTCTTTTTTTGGAATTTTTATTAAAAACAAAAAACAAAAAGATTTACTGTTACAATACTGAAAATATTGTAATAATTGAAACAAATAAAGTCAACCCTTTAAAGCCGCATATTAGAATGGTACTTGGAAAATTTTAAAGGAAAAATGACATCATTTTTTTTTATTTTTTGAACATCAGAAAAAATCAAACTTTTCCCCTTTGGCTCCCATTTCAAGGTTTTTTTTCATAGAAAAAACCAGCCCAAAATACCTCTTTTTCCCTTTTAATTTTTTTCCATTCTATCAAATAAAGACCAAAAAATGGTTTTCCCCCAAAAAAAATACTATACATTTTAGGCCACAAAGTTGGCTTTTTAAATTTAAAAAAAAAACTTTCGGGTTTTTTTTTTTCTATTATCCCCACTGGGGTTCCCTGCGGTTTTTTTTTTATATGGTGCACACTGACCACAAAGACCCTTTCCCTTCACTTTGGGGGCCTACCGCTTTTTTTTTCCTGCTTGATTTGAAGCCGCTGGGTTTTTTGACTATAATTTTTTTAACCCTTAAATGGTTCCCCAAAAGTAATAAATGTTTTTTTTAACATTAAATAAGTAAAAAAATGAAAATCCTTTTTTTTTTTTTTTACATGTGGAAAAAGTTTTAGAAAAAACAGTATCTACATTTTTTTTTTTTTTTTATACGTCCCCTCCCCCTTTTTCGTTTTAAATTTAAAAACCCGGGTTTCCCGGAGCTTTTCATTTTTCAAATTTAAGATTTGTGAATCAAAATTTTTTCCCTAAAAAATAATGTAAATTTCAATTTAATTTTTTTACCGACACCCAGAAGTATTAAAAAAAAAAAATTGGGTTTTCATGAAATATAAAATTTAATACTAAACAATACAATGGGAAAAAATGATGAAAAATTAACAGCATAACAAAATTACCTTTATTAAGATTCTTCTTTTGTGTATAGGAGACTGGGGGAGGGGTGAGATTAATTGTTTTTTCAGTTTGGAAAAGGGGAAAACCCTATCCAGCAACACCTAGGTACCAATTGTTTTTCTGGGGGGTTTTTCTCTTCTTTTTCTTAAAAGCCACTAACCACCTTGAGTACTTTTTCCTTCCCAAAGTAAAATGTGGAAAGGGGGGGGTTTTCAATGTGATCTTACTCTCAAATTCCAAAAAGTGGGAGAAGCTTTTGTTTCTGGGGTTTTCTTTAACACTTCCCCAAAATGGGGCCCCAAAACTTTTTCACGTACATATTCTCACCTTCTTTACCAAGGCTTGGCACAGGGGTTTTCTTTGGACCATGGCATTATTTAATATTTCAACATAAATTAGTGGGAAAATTAAAAAAATATTTCGTAGGGGCACTTGAGGGGGCCCTTTACTCCCCGGTAAAAAAATGGCCCCAAAATGGCTGGGGAGGGAGGCCGCCCCCTCCCACCGTTCATTTCGCGTCCCCGATGAACTACTATTCGGATAACCTATGAAAAAACCCAAATCCATGTTTTTTACGAAAATACCCCCCATGATTGGCCAAAAATCTACGATTTGGGCCCGGAAAATACGAAAAAACGAGGGACCATGACAGTGGGCCCCCGCATAATGTTTTTATCACATAGCGATTATTTTGCATACCGCTTACTTTAATTGCAAAAATTTTGCCTCACATACCGCTTAAAAACCCGCTTACCGATTTTCGTCCGAGACGCGTCCAATTGTGCGGCCTGAGCCACGCTCACATGTTCCGCCGGTGGCATTGTTTACCAGCCAGCCTCCGCGGTAACATCCAAGCATACAATCGGAATATTTCGTATTATTACAGTGTTTTCGGTGCTTTTTCTGGAAAATAAGTGACCATGGGCCCCAAGAAAGCTTCTAGTGCCAACCCTACAGCAATAAGGTGAGAATTACAATAGAGATGAAAAAAAGATCATTGATAAGTATGAAAGTGGAGTGCATGTCTCCGAGCTGGCCAGGTTGTATAATAAACCCCAATCAACCATCGCTACTATTGGTGGTACAGCTGCTGCTGCTGCTGCACTGTCAGCTGCTGCTGCTGCACTGTCAGCTGCTGCTGCTGCTGTAGCACCGTTGTTGGTGTGGCTTATTGAGAATACCAAGAAACAATTAACCCCAGAGGATTTGCCACCCAGGTAACCCAAAAAAGTCAGTGTCATCGAAGACTGTCTAACTTATTTCCATTGGGGTCCTTAATCTTGTCTCCCAGGATGCAACCCACACAAGTCGACTAACACCCAGGTGAACAGGGAGAAATGCCTGGAACTAGTGCTCATATTGGTGAATTTAAAGCCAGCAAAGGTTGGTTTGAGAGATTTAAGAATCGTAGTGGCATACACAGTGTGATAAGGCCTGTTCTGGAAGAAAATGCCAAACAGGACCTACAGTACTCAGGAGGAAAAGGCACCCCCAGGACACATGTCTCATCAGTCATTGCTGCATCTTCAATAAAGGTAAGTGTCATTTATTCTTCATTTAGTAGACTAGTACATGCACAATATATACTGTGCATGTACTACTCTACTATTGTGCATGTATCCTTCTCTTTGTGTGTGGGAAAATGTATATTTCATGTGGTAAAATTTTTTTTTTCATACTTTTGGGTGTCTTGCACGGATTAATTTGATTTCCATTATTTCTTATGGGGAAAATTCATTCACATAGCGATTATTTCGCATAACAATTACCCCTCTTGCACGGATTAAAATCGTTAACCGGGGGTCCACTGTATTTGAAAAAATGTACAAAAAAGGTAGATCTACTTTTGTAGCACTATGAATTTGAATGTCGATCTGTTTGGACCGTTTAAGGGTTGAAGACGGTGGCTCATAAGACGTGTATATACGACCGAAACAGTCAAAGGGTTAAAAAAAAATCAAAACATTCGGAGCACTGGGTGTGAGAACGTAGATCTATGTTTGAACAGTTTAGGGGTTAAACTTGCATAATGAAATTTTTATGTGCCCATAATGTGTGTGCCATCAAGACCAATGTACAGTAGAACCTCAGTTTTCATTTGCCCTGGTTTTCGTTGAATTAAGTTTTCAACAACTTTTTTCGTCAAAATATTGTCTCGGTTTTCATCCGCCATACCAAGCGTGTGCGTCTGCCCGCACCCACACAAAGCATCCCACTCACGCATTCTGAGTCAGTCTGGCTTTGTTTCTCGTCGAGTGAACATTACCCTGTGCATTCATGCGAAACATTTTGTAATAATCTATTTTTTATTGTGCTTGTTTATTGAGTGCGACTGCTAAATAAGCCACCATGGGGCCAAAGAAAGTTTCAAGTGCCAGCCCTTTGATAAAGAAGGCAAGAAACATGATAGAATTCAATGGTGGTAGAAGGTGGTACTGGTTGTGATGGTGGTAGTGATGGTGGTAGTGATGGTGGTAGTGATGGTGGTAGAGGGTGGTAGGGATGGTGGTAGAGGGTAGTAGTGGTTGTGATGGTGGTAGTGGTTGTGATGGTGGTACAGGGTGGTAGTGATGGCAGTACAGGGTGGTAGTGATGGTGGTAGAGGATGGTAATGATGGTGGTAGAGGGTGGTAATGATGGTGGTAGAGGGTGGTAATGATGGTGGTAGAGATAACCTCTCCTCCCTCTCCCCTACTCGCCATCTTCCATATGCCAACAAGTGTCTTCAATAAAGGTAAAAGTGGTTTAAATTATCATTTATTCATTTCATTAGTGCTTTATATTTATTTCTCATTGTTTTCTGTATGAAAAACTATAGTTATTGGGTGTCTGTAAGGGATTAATTAGATTTACATAATTTCTTATAGGAAATATTGCTTCAGTTTTTGTTGAATTTGGTTTTCGTCGCACTCATTGGAATGAATTAACCCTTTCAGGGTCCAGAGGCCAAATCTCAGCCAGGGTCCAAGAATTTAAAAAAAAAAAAAAAAAATTCCTTATAAAATGGTAGAGAATCTTTTTCTGAAGGTAATAAAGCAAAAAGTACAAAATTTGATGAAAAATTGACGAAATAACACTCGCGAAGTTTGATGCATCAGTGATATTTACGTATCAGCGATTTTGCCAAATTTGACTCCCAATTTAGGCCAATTACATTATTCCAGTCGACCAAATTCTTAGTTATTTTGTTAGTATTACTTCTGTTTTCTCAATTGAGCACAAGAAATCGCCCAGTCAACCATTTCAACTACCCAATAAAGTGATCGGAAATTGGTAATTTGGCCAATTTAACACAAAGTTCAAAGTATTCCAATTTCAAAATAGGATCCAGAATAAACAATGCAGACATTCCTGGCACTAAATTAACATTTCCTCTGTTCATTACTTACGTTTTCAGGCTTTACAGACGAATTCCATTTTGATTTTTTATTCACATAATGAATTTTTATTGACACTAAAAATAGAAGATTTATTGTTATGCAATGTTGTAATAATTGTACAAATAATATCAGCACATTTGTGAATGCATATTAGACCCACCAGCTGATGCGTATTAGATTCACGATGACATTTGTTTACTTTTGAACATCAGCAAAAATTTAACATTTCCACTACATTGAGCTCAGTTTCAAGCCATTTTCAGTACTATAACCAATCAAAATCATCTCTATTTCTGTAATATATATTCCATTCTATCAAATGAGACCAAGAAATCGTGAATACAACTGTGTAAAACATATGAAAAAATACAGCAAAGTCTGTTTTAATCCAAAATTACGGTCGCAGTTTTTTTTCTCTCATTATGCACTGCGCACGTGCGGCAGGATTTGTTTTATGTAATGCACACTTACCACATAGATGTGTTCTCGTGTGTGTGTGTGTGTGCCTGTATATAGTACACTGAATGGTTGGAGAGCTGGTCGTAAGTCTGAGTGGTCATTAAACAGGTAGGTTGTTAAATGAGGAGTGCCTGTATAACTTTTACGGGCTTACACTGTCACCTAAGATAATGCTGCCACAAAACAATTTGCAAAAGGCCAAATTTTTAAATGTTTTCAGGTCAGTGGTCACGCCAGGGAACTCCAGATTGGGATGAGGGTGAACCATCTTTAGCACCAAGAACATCACGTCGTCACATTGATGAGCGGCGTCGCGTGGCTGATGAAGAGGAAACGGTGCTAGATGCTGCTGAAACTGGTAGTGTTGGCAGCCTTGATCGAGGTCAGTTGCATTGTTATAACATGGGGTAATAACATGGTATAATATTAAAATAAGCATTGAAGTGACTAATGTATAGTACTGTATAAATATTTTTTTTGTTGTATTGCTCTGGGGGGCATATGTGAAATGTCACACCTTGATCCTACCCATTATGTCACACTCTGATCCTACCTATTATGTCACACCTTGATCCTACCAATTATGTCACATCTTTATCCTGCCCATTACAGTAGGGCTCCACTTATACGGCTGGTTAGGTTCCAGGCTCCCGCCATAAAGCGGAAATTGCCGTAAAGTGGAACACCCTTTTTTTTTCCACTTATAAATGCATATAAATACTAGATAACAAATTTACACTAGCTTATATTAAGTTAGCAATAGAACTAGGCATTAAAAAACAAAAAGAAAGTAAAATACACATATACACTCATTACTTACCTTAAAATATTTGTAGTCTTAATGTAGGGTCAGAGGTGAGTAAATGAGATAAAATGAATAAATGAGAGAGAGAGAGAGAGAGAGAGAGAGAGAGAATGAGTACATGAGAGAGGACAGGCGCAAAGTTATGTAAACAAACCAGGCATACACGAGTTTTGTAAACAAACCAGGTGAACATGTCTGGTTTGTGTACAAGTTACATTGTGTACAAGTTGTATCTACATTGATACAATAGAATAAATAAAAAGAAACACTCCAGTTCTCATGTAACATCATTTTTAGAAGAAATGACGCTCAGAGTGAAGGCATATAAAAGGAATAATTTTGTACAGTTACCCCCAGTAACACATTTTCTCTGATGTTGGACTAGAGAAACCGTTATTCTTGCCATCACTCATACAAGTCGTCTGGCTACCACAGCTCCAAATTTTATGTTAATTTATTCTACTGTGGGGTGTATTTATCATGTTTATATATTACATATCATGTTTATTGTATAATTTTGAAAAAAATATCATAGATGGAATAATGAAAATGTGTATATTAACGTAATATATGACATTTAACCCTTTGACTGTTTACGCCGTATAAATACGTCTTACGTGCCACTGTTTCTGATGTTTTATACCATACATTCTAGCGGCTTCAATCAAGCGTGAAAGGCCTGGAAGGCCTACATGCGAGAGAATGGGTCTCAGTGGTGGGTGTGCACCCTGTGAAAAAATCTGGGACTCAGCGGTGCATTGTGAGAACGCCATCTTGGTAGTCCATTTTCACCATGCCTCGCAGTAAGAAGTACCTCACTCCTCGGTGGATTGGAGGTCTTTTGTTCCCAATGATAGCTCTAACAGCGATGAAAATGTCATGACATGAATTCCAATGGTTTTGAAGTGAGTGTGACCGAAAAAAGTGCCCAGGATAACTAATAGTGATGAAAAAACCCAGATGACCCACAACCTTCCACCTCTGGTGCTGGCCGTCCTTGTTCACGTTCACGTTCACATCACCTTACCAGGATGAAAGAGGAAACGATTTGCGTGTACAAGAACCCAGAGGTTTACAGTGAATGTGATAGTGAATTATTTCAAGGTTATTGAAAAGGAATGTTTTCTATTGTGACATTGGAGGGTGAATATTCCCAAGTGAAGCAGCATAATGTACGACGTAGCTGTGTCCCTGGTAAGTGTGCAATAGTAAGATGCTGTTTCAAGGGAAAGGATAACTCTGGGAGCACATCCTTGCCCCCCCCACCCCCCTACACCACGACCTGAAAGTGAAGATGGCGATATTGTTCCGATGGTTATGAATGATTACTGAGGAGTCAGGCAGTGTGGTGATAGTGAGGTGGCATGACCCCATGGCACCACAGCGGTCACGCTCTACCCACGCTGTTGACTCTGCATAGCAACAACCAGCCTCACCCAACCCCACACTCCCACAACCTACACAACCACAACCACGTTACAATATCCAGAACCCACCAGCAGACCGCATCGGGGTTGGCGGGAAAGGGTGACGAGTTTGTTCCCAGTCCCCATGACTTTGATGAAACACAAAGTGGAATAAAGCCATCATGTCCACTTGAGAACAATGCTAGTGAACTGCAATGCTTTGAGTTATTCTTCGATGAACCCCTGATGGACATCATTGTCAGGGAAACCAACACATACTATGAATACACCATGGCAAATACAATTCTCTCACCAAGATCACGGCTACACCAGTGGAAAGAGACAACTGTGGCAGAGATGTACCTGTTTTTTGCCACAATAATGCTTATGCCACATGTGTATAAGCACACTGTCACCACATACTGGGCAACAGAACGCCTGATTTCAACTCCAGGTTTTAGTGACATTTGATAGGTGTCATTGTTTCCTGATACTGTTACGTATGTTACACTTTTCAGACAAAACCAGGCCTGACAGAACCAACAGGTTATATAAGATCAGAAATGTGTTTATGTACATGAAACAAAAGTGCTTGCATTTGTGGTCACAGTGGTGCCTGTGCTAACCTTCCTATGGTGTAGAAATATACCTAGTTGGATGAATCTTATTGTGGCTAGCTGGTCTAGTGGCTAACGCGACGGGCTGGAGTTTTGAGACTCTATGACCGCGGGTTCAATCCCGGCCGGGGGTATGGTTTGTTTGCAATCGTGTCATTACGATTTCTTGAGTCGTGCTGCATGTATTTTTATCCCTTCAGGAAGCTTGTTATTGATGAGTCCTTGATTTTATTCAAAGGAAGGCTCTCATTCAAGCAATATATACCAAGCAAGAGGAAACGCTTTGGTATAAAGTTATTTGTACTGTGTGATTGCAGAAGTGGTCTAGTTTTGGATATCATTGTGTACACTGGCAGTAATACTTTGAGAGATATCATGAAGTTATTGGGTATCTCTGGTGATGTGGTTAGAACAATGATGGAACCATATCTTGGTAAGGGGCATATGTTATTTACTGATAACTGGTACACAAGCCCCTTACTCAGTGATTTCTTGCGAGTGAACTTGACAGACGTGTGTGGCACATTGTGTGGTAATCGTAAACATATGCCAAGGTTCAATGCTGGCACTCGCAGAGGTGAGGTGCAAGCCTTTGCTGCCAATGACATCATGGCATTTTGGTGGCATGACAAACGTGATGTCACATTGTTGACATCAGTTCACCAAAACGAAATGGCAAACAGTGGCAGGCACAACAGAGAGACCAATGAACCCATTCTAAAACCTGCAGATGTCATGGACTACAACCTCAATATGCGCTTAGTGGACAAATGTGACATGCAGATTGGGTTTGCTGATTGTGTACGCAATTGTTATAAGTGGTATATAAAACTTTTTTTCCATCTTGTTGATACAGTGGTCCCTCGTTTTTCGTAATTAATCCGTTCCTGGAGCCGTTACCGTAAACGAAATTTACGATTTACGAATCAATTTTCCCCATAAGAAATAATGTAAATACAATTAATCCATTCCTGACACCCAGAAGTATTAAAACAAACAAAATTTTAACATGAAATATACATGTAGTACATAAACAATACAATGGGAAATGATGAATGAAACATTAACAGCATAACACTTACCTTTATTGGAGATTCTTCTTAGTGTATGGGAGACTGGAGGAGGAGAGAGAGTGGATTGTTTATAGTTTGGAAGGGGAATCCCCTTCCATCAACACCTCAGGTACCATTTGCTTTTCTGGGGTTGCTTCTCTTCTCTGTTTCTTAATGCCACTAGGACCACCTTGAGAGTCACTGGAGTCCTGTCTCACAAAATAACTGTGGAGAGAGCTCTGTTTCTGGCATCTCTTTAACACTTCCCTAAAATGGCCCAAGACTTTGTCACTGTACATGTTGCCAACCTGGCTTGCAACAACCTTGTTAGGGTGATGTTTCTCCATAAAGCTTTCCATCTTACCCCACATAGTAAAAATCTCTCTAATTTCTAGAGAAGGCACCTTCTTCCATCTCTCTTCCTCCTCCTCTGCAGCAAGATTCTGAGCTGCGATGTGTTGCTCTTCCTGCTGAAGCTCTTGCAGCTCCTCAGTGGTGAGCTCTTCATTGTGGTCTTCCACCAATTCTTCCACATCCTCCAAACTCACATCCAACCCCATGGAACTCCCCAGTGCCACAATTGATTTTACAACAGACATAGGCTCATTAGGGTCAGTCCCAAATCCATCAAAGTCTCTCTTGTCGACACAATCTGGCCACAATTTTCTCCAGGCAGAGTTCAAAGTCCTGGTAGTCACTCCCTCCCAAGCCATACCTATAAGGGTTATACAGTGGAGGATGCTGAAGTGTTCTCTCCAAAATTCCCTTAGGGTCAAGTGAGTGTCTGTGGTCACAGTCAAGCACCTGTGAAACATTGCTTTTGTGTAGAGTTTGCAATAACCTGCTGGTCCATGGGTTGGAGGAGAGGAGTGGTATTCGGGGGCAAGAACTTTACTGTGATGAACCCAAACTCCTCGAAAATTAGGTCATCCAAGTTTGGAGGATGAGCAGGTGCATTGTCCATTACTAGCATGCACTTGAGATCCAATTTCTTTTCCAGGAGATACTCCTTCACACTAGGGCCAAACACTTCATTGAACCACTAGACGAAAATTTCCCTCGTGACCCATGCCTTACTATTAGATTTCCAAAACACACACAATTTACTCTTCATAACATTGTTATGAAGATTGGGATTAAATCTGGGATTAAATCTGGAGTATCTGAGAGAGTTAGAGCAAAGGAAGGGGTAGCAGTAATGTTAAATGATCAGTTATGGAAGGAGAAAAGAGAATATGAATGTGTAAATTCAAGAATTGTGTGGATTAAAGTAAAGGTTGGATGCGAGAAGTGGGTCATAATAAGCGTGTATGCACCTGGAGAAGAGAGGAATGCAGAGGAGAGAGAGAGATTTTGGGAGATGTTAAGTGAATGTATAGGAGCCTTTGAACCAAGTGAGAGAGTAATTGTGGTAGGGGACTTGAATGCTAAAGTAGGAGAAACTTTTAGAGAGGGTGTGGTAGGTAAGTTTGGGGTGCCAGGTGTAAATGATAAGGGGAGCC